GAGAGAGAGTCCCAAGAAGGCTCCGTGCCTCCAGCACAGAGCCAGACTCAGGGCTGGATCCATGAACTCTGAGATCAAGAGACCTGAGCCGAGATCAAGAGTTGGACACTTTACCAACTGAGCCACCCAGGTGTCCCTCTTTCTCTTTTTTTTTCCTTTTAAATAACTTGCATATTACATTAACTAGGCCACACAAAACTTAACAGAACATAGGAAATGTGAGTGGAGAACTTGTGATGGGAGAACACCCAGGGTCCTGGGAAAGGTAAAAGCGTAACTGGTATTATCTGAGACCTTTAAATAAGTAAAATTAAGCACTAAATATTAAGCGCTTCTAACACTACTTACTCTCTATATTATCTGGTCTACGGGTCAGTTTTCTACCCTGGGGTACAAGCTTTAAGGACTGGTGGTGACTGACTTGTTCCTATACCCACACAGCCTACCATGCTGTAGGCCAATAAACGTTCAATGAATAAATGGACTGTGTCTTTCCCTATCTTTAAGTTGTAATTTTAAGTTCACAATCTTCCTGTTAGTTACGTAGGCAGGTTTTCTCAAAGAGAAATCACTTCCTTCCAGGAGCTGTCCAGTAACAGAGCCTCCTAAACCTACCACCATGGTCTTGCTAGAGAAGCTTCTGAAAAGGGAGAAAACGAACATTCCAGCACCTACTATACGTCTGACACAACCCACGTGACTTCACTGAATCCCCACGACTTTGGCAAATAACATGTAATAGCATTTTACTAGGTTGACCTATGGCATTAGGATCTAAGAGAGGCACCAAATCCCCTTCAATCCACCACAAGGATGCCGGTTCTGCACCAACGTACCTAATCCAAGCCTGCAAATTGCTGAGCTGGAGAGAAGGAAGAAACAAATAGCTACAGCGTTCTGGTGACTGTGCATTCAAACCGTTCTTGCTTACTCACCTGGCTTTCTCCAACATTAACACACAGAGGTTTGTTACTGAGGGGCTCAAAGAAGTCTCACCTTGGGAAAGATCGGATCTAGGCTCTGAAACCAGAACCGAATCCCCAAGTCCGGAGAAACGACCGGACTGCACACAGCTGAGGGCGATGGGGCCTGGGAACCCAACCCACGTGTGTACCACTCAGAAAGCCTCCTGTACTGCCCCAAGCGGTCTAGTGCCTCACTGCTGAGATTTTTAAAAATACCTTTTGTTAGAAAAGCCAAGCTGCAAGCTTGCCATCCTCACGCCCAGCCCGACCCCGTCGGCCAGGCGGCCTCGGCTACCTTGGTGTCCACGTCGGC